TCTCTCTCTCTCTCTCTCTGTCTCTGTCTCTGTCTCTCTCTCTCTCTGGCGGCTGGCGGCCGGGGCGTGTGGCACAAAAGCTCCACAGACACCCGGCCACAGGTGCCTTTCGCTGGGGAGGGACCCGTGAGAAGGCGCACAGGCGCCCCGCGCCCCGACGGAAACGATGCCAGCAGCAGATGCGGCGGGCGCCCTCCCCCCGCCACTGCCTCCCGGCTGCCGACCTCTGCCACGCTCGAGGCACCCCCCCCCCCGTGCGCGGCACCCCACCACGATGAACAGCCGACGAAATCTTCTTCTTTTCTTTTCCAAGGTCTGGTTGGGTGTATTTTAGAGGAAGGGAAGGTGAAAGGGGGGGAGGAGGAGGAGGAGGAGGCGTAGGAGGGGGGGGGGGAGCTGAGGGGGGGCGCTGCTTTGGATGTGGATGCGTCCCATCCGACGCCGCCCTCGAAGGCTCTGCCGCGTCCAGCGCAAGGGTGCCCCTGTTCCCGCCGGGGTCTGTACGCGACCTCTCGGCGGACATGGGGTGCGGCCCGGCCACACGGGGGCGCCACGGTTGGGGTGCCCCCTCTTTGGCGCAGGGGGCGGCAGCGGGGGCGGGGGCGCATGGACACATGCATGTGTGCGCGCCCGAAGGCGCCCGCGCCCGCGCCCGGCAGGCACACGCACGGTGTGGTCTTCTGGGAGCACACAGCGGGGCTGTACCCATCTCGGCGGGCCCATGCTACGGGGGGAGGGAGCACAGGCGCGCATATGAGAGGGGCAGGACAGTGGTCCCGCCACCATGCGCCGAGGCCGAAGAAGCCACACACACACACACATACACACACGCGACGACGTGCAGACACACATCCACACACACATCCACACACCCGAGGAGAGGGCCCGTGCACGCGGGAGGGCAGGCCACCGCTTGTCATGCGAGAGCAGGGGCAGGCGCGCGGCAGGGAAAGAACCCGAGGCGCCTGGCCTCGCACCACGGTAGCCGGGGCGCGCCGGGCCTTCGGCCCTCCTCGGGGCAGCACACGTCCGAGTGCCGAGGACACCCCCTCTGCTGCTCAGCCGATCATGCCGGTCAGGGCGTCCTCGCTAATGAAGGCCCAGTTGGTCTGGTTGTGCGAGTCCGAGCGGTGGCGGTTGTACGGGATGAAGCCGGCGGCCAGCAGGTCGTGCAGCAGGGCCTGCCCATCGGGCATCTCCACCTTCGAGCCATCGGCCATCAACTCATCGTGGAAGGTGATGAGGAGCTGGGGCGTTGGGGAGCGTCCGGCCGGCGGACGGG